TAAGTGCCCTCATAATTGTTAACAACAATAACAACAAATATAATAAAATCCAAACAAAAGGCAGCTGCAAGTGAAATGAGCAATTATTAAGCCATGAACATTTTAAGCCAACAACAGCACGCGTCATAATAAAGTTATTATTCCAATAAAAGTCCCACCAGCGGGGGGTTCTGAGGCATTTAAAGTGGAAAAGGGATGCTACGTAAAATACTGAGCAATGAAAATATTAATAACGTTAATGAAAATTACATTTGCAGGCCGCAAACTCGAGGAGCAGCTTGCCGAGGGATTCGACTATTTGTTCTTTTAAATTATTTCCGCGCTCCTCTTAAGAGCTTTTCGAATCAAACGAGGCGGTTAATTTTCATTATATTTTTCATAGTTAAATATAGTTGGATTCAGCCAAATCACACAATCCGCGACTAAAATTAATATTCATTAGAAGTTAAGCATATGTATGTAAATATGTAAATATTTTTACCATTATACCCTCATTTTTATAGCCCAGAATATCCAATTATGATGAAATTCCAATTGTTTGCATCATTAAATATAACAATCATTATTTACCAGTAATTTAATAAAGTTTAGTGCGCCGTTTTTTTACTTGACCAGATAAATTACAAAAGGAAAAGAAATTGATGATTGTAAATATAGAGTTCATTTATTCGATTAATACAAATAATTATTATTTCCGTTCCCTTCATTAAAATAACCCAAAAAAAATAGACATCGGAACGTACCTTTTAACTTTGTAGTTTGAATTATAATTTTAAGCAAGTATTTAAAGTATTCCCTATAGAATAAGTTAGAACCAAATTCGTAAACACTAGTTTTACTCACCATTATTTAGTGTTGAGCCACCGACGTTACCGGCGTTGCCTTCACTTCCGGTATCCGTACTTAGTGCCACAGATGAGGCAATCAGGCACCCAAGGCCCACATACAGAAACGAAGAAATAGCTTCGAGGTGGTATGCCATTTTGCTGGGAGTTTGGTGGCACTTTTTTACCGTTGCTTAGCTTTTCAATTGGGAGATCTTAATTATTTAAAGCGTACAAATATTATGTTGCATTACTGTATATTCAGGTTCATGTTTTGTTTGCTTTCGGAATCGCTCGACGTTTAATTGCGATTGGCACGCTTCCCCTGAAATATAATGAAATGTGAGAGGAAATTATAGGTTGCCATTATGAAGCAAAATGTAGGTCACAAATTTCAAAAGAGTGAAATTATACACGGCTACATGTGTTTAGGCTACGTGTAGATTCAGTTTGCCATTGCTCAATTTTCCATTTACCGCACAGAATGAGCCCTTTGTGGAGTTGCACACCTATCAGATACCCGGAACACAGCTAATTGATTATATAGCTAATTGCATTGGTTAAAAAGTTAAGCCCTAGAATCAAATTCCATTAGCTTCATAGATCATGTTATTTATACGGACAGATAAGCGAACAACGCTTTTTTAAGTTCAAGAAGTTTTTTTAAACGCTTCAAACTGAATCGACATCTCGCTTACATTGTTTTTCAGGGTGTAAAGGGGTTTCAATGAACCAGGATCAGCATTAGGAAGACATCAGAGCAGAGGTCAGCCCTGAACTCCGCCCCACCTCAAATCCCTTCAAATGCCGGGGACAACGTTATCGTCATCATCAGAATTATCAGCTTCCTTTCCGTGGTTATTTTGCTGCATGCATGGATAGAAGAATTTTTTCCTTGTTTTTAATTCCTGCTCGTGTCATAAGCGAAAAGCAATTTGCTCTGTCAGCTGTTGTTTTACACCCGGCTACGGCTACACAGTGAAGTAAACCCATGGAGGTCCTTCCAGTCTCGTCAATTTCTTCATTCTATTGCAATATGAATGCATTTCAATTAGAATGCCTCCTTGGGGACAGCTGTTGTGGATTTTCCATTAAGTAAGGGTTATTGAAACCGAATTGCAAAACTTAATTGATTTCTAAGCCAGCGACCTAACCTTCGTTTTGGGTGTGATATCTAAACAAAGATTTTGAACGTTGTGCAGAGAAGGATTTAGTAAGCCACTTACAACTCATAGGAGGCAAAAAATGTGTTTGACGGATGTGCTACTTCAAGGGAATTATCAAATTCCATTTTTATCAAATTCCTCATATTGTAATTCTTTTGAAACTTAATCATTTAAGACCCAAACTTCTCCGTTTCGAATCTCCTTTGAAACGTAAAAAAAACGTAAAAACTACGGTATCAATTCATATTGCAAGACACCAACCAATGGCCACAAAGATGTGATTTTGTAAAATGTTAAATATGTGATTGTTAGTTTGGTATACCAAAATGTATTGTCGGGTGTATTTTCACGCGGCGACCATTGTTCGATCCATGGAACTAACCGCTAAATGTAAATGGACCGTGAATACGTAATGCATTTAAATCATTGTAAACAGCGATGTTTGTGCCCCGCAGACAGAAAGGATATTTCGCACATCTTCGAAGTGGTGTAGCCGCCTGATGAAAAGGAGCCAGCGGTGAATGCTCGCCGGTCTGACTTCTGCTCTGTCTTTCCGTCTCCTAGGGAGCATTTACTCGCTTTTGCATAATAAATCAATTTACATTTCCATTCACACGCAATAATGAATAACGAATAATGGCAGCAAGCCCGTGGCGGAGGAATCTCCTTACGTATTCTTTGGGTACAAGTGTATATGCAGGAGTAGCTCGAGAAACCTCTTCTTGCTGCACTAAAATCACACCGAGCGGACTCAATCAATCAAACAGAAATTAAGTTATTTAATTAAACTATTATTTCTTTTCTGGCGATTTTGACAATGCAAGACGAATTTTTGTACATCATCAAATTTAACCAATGTGTTTGTTCCACCTAAAAGATTCAATCTTCATAGCCTTTCTTCATTAGTACAATTATTTACTGAAGTGAACATAAAACCTAAATAAAGATGAACATAAAACACCAGCCGCAGACGCAGCATCGTAAACTCGTGCTACCTCTTAAAATGATTTTATTCCATGGCATATTAATCTCTTCGATCGGACAATCATGGCAGATTCTGCACGTTTGTTTACATATACGTGTATAGTAGCCGGCTTTCGCACTTCGGTGCACATTGCCACCACGTAGACGGCCGGCAGAAAGATATATAAATATCTGAGTCAGACTGTGCCGCGGGAGTTGGAAACGCACAATTTAAGATGGAAGTAAATGCAGAGGGTGGCTTCATTTAAAGATGTAGATATCGGTATTTTAAGGTTGCAACGCATTTGGTGCTTTGAAACGCACTTAGTGTCATACATGAAGCATAAAGAGCATTAAGCTAGAAGTCAGAATTGCATGCAATTCGGATTACTTTGAGAGCCGCCTAATAAAACATTCAAAGTGCAATCAATTGCCGACACAGCTGCTCAAGCAGAGGTAAACCAATTCGGAAGGATCCTTTGTGGAAGGTGCAGCTCCATAAACGGGGCATCCTGTGAACTCACTATTGTGCCGACAATGGTGCCCATCTGCAACTGCATCTTCATTCCCCATCCGATCCGATGTCGCCCTGCTTCCAGAAACTAATAACTCACCGTGGCAGAGTCTGGCTGCTGGATGGGGCGTCAGATGTCGGCAGGAATCAGCAAATCAATTTATAAATAGAGCAGCGAGACAACATAACAACGGATTTTCATGTTTCCCTCTGCCGTTCTCCGTTTTTGCAACATAACTAAATTAGGGGACCACGCGGCAGACACACAGACGCCGTCACAAAACCAGCAGCTCCTCCGGTGGGCAGCGGAGGTGCATAAATGGCATGGATGGGATATGGGATAAAGCACTCACAGCAGTTGATTTACAACAACCATTCGCCACTAATGCCAATCGAGAATACTATTTTTAACTATTTGGCCAGCGCAAACAGGACCACCACGTACGCGCGTCTAAGGAATCCGAATTTGGTTCTGATACCGTTACCGATTCGGGTTCGGGATTCAAAAGCGATTGCGATTGCGACTGCGGATGCGGATGTGGATGCTCTCGCGCGGACTGACGACAACCGAACGAAACGACAGCCGAGTTCACACTGACAGCAGCATCCCGTCGTGCGAGTCACTTCGGCTGCGGCATGTTAAAAAGATAAACAAATGTTGCGGTTGGCCGTGATTTATGTTAGCTTACATATGTTTATGGCCCTGGGTACAGAGCCAACAGCACATTCTGCTGTTAACAGCCCCGAAAACAGCGAACTACCCAACGATTCGGGTGTGTTAATGGACTAGCCGTTCCACCAGCTAATGCGGCGGGTTAAATTTTATGTTTATCATGTGAGAGATAAAGTGTGAGAAAAGTTAAAGGTCGCAGAATTTCCAGTACTGGTATGAGCACATGTGAGCTAAGTAAAGAAACATATTATTCCTTTCTGAGCTAAATAGAGCAGGGCGTATCACTTGTGTAAGCATTTTCGTCTAGTGCCTTAAACTCCCTTATCTTTCTTACAATGAAAACATGTTTTTCATCTTCGCTAATCATTAAGCATTTGTTACTTGGTCTTTGAGCGAGCATAATGGAACAATGTCTTAGCACTTCAACACATTTGAAGCCAGGGACTGTGAGCATTTTCAAGTTCTGTGACCATAAATGTCAGAGTTCAGTAAGCAAGACTTCTTTAGCTTGCTGTTAACTCGCTATCTTGAGATGCGGATGCTGTAACACAATCAAAGAGAAATTTGAAAAAACCTTAGTTCTTGTTTGTGCTCTACATTTCCCTTTATCACCCCAACAATGCTTCCCCAATTTGGTCCTGCAAGCCTTAACATTTCCCACCGGACTTACCAAGCAAAGCTTCAGCATGTTGGTAATTCGAGCGTTAACATTTCCCGTTATTACCCCTGATAAAGCTCCTGGTAGTAGAAAGCACTTAAAGTCATTAACTTTGAGCGTCCGTTAAGCTTTAAGTGGTGACGAAAGCTGCTGTCACAAGACGCTTTCCTTTCCTGTTGACTTTGGCAACTTGACAGCGCAAAAAGCGAAAGCCACAACACTCAGTCGGAACAGCTGACTCTCAAAGGTGGCCGCACCACCGCCACCCACCACCCAACTGCTGCAGGGCCAAACAGAAACTCCGTCACTAGGCTTACGGAGCATTTCGCCAAGAAAGCGTGGGGGCGTCACCGTCGCCCACTGACGTCGACGCACTCGGCACAAGCAAAACAGTTACGCGCTGTCCCACGGAGTGTGTGGAGTTGCGTTGAAAGGGGCTCCGGAGTCCAAACGGCAATCGAAAAGAGCACGGGAAGGGGCCAGCACAGCGGAGCCTTGACCCGAGAGTAGTGAAATGTGGCGCCTTGCAGGCGAAAAAGTGACGTGAAATGCCAAGTGCAGCCACATCGAAGCCACCAAGGATCTTGTAGCAGCGGCAGGAGCAGCCCCTTCTCCATGGGTTCATGCCTTGGCAGCTGTGCCACAGCTGCCGCCGCACCCGCCCACTCCGCCTGCACCTCAACATCCGACTCCACCACCCACTCGACGTCCTCGACGTCGTCTTCCCTGACAACGCCCCCCGCGTCCTGGGTGGGCAACAGCTGGCTCTGGTGAGTGGGGCCAATTAGTTGAAGCTCAACTCCGCTGACTTTCGTTCGCGCGCAAATCCCCTGACCAATCAATACTGGCTAAGCTCGGGGTGGAATTGGCTAGTTGGGGGTCAACAGCCTAAAACTATGCAACGCCCGCCACAAAACAATGTGCCACAAAACAATGTGCCACAGGCGGGCTTCCCGCCCAATTGGGTGGTTATTGCAACTAGAACTGTAAACAGCAGATATACGAGTATATGATTTCCTTTAAGAAGTAACAGGAGCTTCTTGTAAATAAAAAATAACTAAATAATAACTATTAAACACATCGCTTATAACAGACTTTACCTTTCGTCTTCCAGGCGCAAGAACAGATCCGCAGCACGACAAGATCCAGAAGCAGAGCTTTTATCGAGGACCACCAGGCAGCGCTGCCAGCGAAGCGGATTCATCTACCGCATCCTGCGGCTTAAGAGGAGACAGCAGTGCCCCAGCTTTTTGGACAAGTACTGGGAGCAGCAGCCCAGCTACGCCAAGCTGCCGACCACGTATGTTAAGTGTCGTAAGGTGTTTCCTAGAAATGAAACCAACTGAATCCTTGCAGCGCCATGGCGGACATTCAGATGCAGAACCTCGACGCCGCCAAGTTGCTCAACGCCCAGACCACGTCCAGCAGGGAGACGGAGATGGGACTTGGAGGATACCAGCGCATGGCCAACTCGCGGGCCAGTTCCTCCTTGGACCTCGAGTGGGAGCACGAGTACTCGCAACTGCGGCAGTATCAGCTCCAGTGCCAGCAGGTGCCCAAGGATCTGCCGCCAACGCCACCAAAGCCGCGCTATGCATCCCTGGACCAGCTGGCGGCAGCCAATGCGATGGCCACCAGCCAAGGACGACACATGGCGCGGCAGGCCAGGCTGAGTTGCCAGCGCCACGGAGGTTCGCTGACGCGGAACTCGTGCTGCTCGTCCACGCAAAACTCCTGGTCCCACATATCCACGCCAGAGTCGCTTGAATGGGACGTGGACGAGGAGCGGGAGCAGCAGCGTCAGCTCCGCCTGGAGGATGACAATCTGGATGACAGAACGCTCAAGCTGCTGCATCAGATCGAGCAATTAAAGCACCATGTGCTGCAGGAGACTGGCGATGGACTCAGCATGGAATCAGCTGCGGTCGAGGAGCTCACCGAGGGCCTTCAGTTCCGAGCAACGCACTTCGCTGGCGACTCCCAGCTGGAGGCCCATGTAAGTTGATTGGAATCACTTTAAAACCTATCATGCACATAGTATTAGGGTAAGAGGTGTACATAGCAGATGTAAGGAGCAGTTAAATTATCCTGTAGAGAGCAGTTCGTTGCCAGATACATTGAAACCCGTTTCCGTTTTAACTGGCCAGGAACACTGGCCATTTTTACTGCCTGACTTTTTCGCTATCTTAAAGTCTTTATCTGTAAACCAAAGTTCCAGTCTATACTTATGCACTCATACAAATTCTTGTTAATTAGGGCTAAGCCGTAGTTCGTTAAAAACATTTTGAAATGCTTTTAAATTGAGGGATCAAAGTTTGAAATCAGACAATGTCTAAAGTAAACATGTTTGATTTGAATTGCTTTTTGTTTGATTTTTTAATTTTCTGCCCATTACTACTTCTACTACTATATTAAACCAGAAGTCAGTTGTACCGCTTGCCTTGTAACAATATTCGCAACAATCTATTTTAAATCTGTATTAATACATATTTGGTTTGATGTGGGATCTGAAATGTTGCGGTTGAAAATTGTGTATTATTATTATCGAAGTTATTAGTGAGGATCTGCAATAGACATACATAAGAACTACAGAGTTTGGAGTCAACCTTATTTCATTACACATTGCACCTGGTATAACATATAAATGGAAATAAGTTATGAAATTTAAGTGCCTAGCCTAAGTCCGATCCGAGTTCAAATGTTAAATTACTCAAATAAAGATGAAATGTAATATCCTGAACTCAAAACCAGTCCTATAAAACAGCAGTATATCAAGCAAATAGTTTGCATTATTAGCCACGCAGATATCTCAATTGTCTATTCTATAACTATTTATATGTGTGTACGGTAAAGGCTTGAAAACGATTTTTATTGCAGAGATTTATACCGAAACATTTAGGTGTAGTAAAAAATGCAATATATTTTGCTCCAAAATTGTGCTTTTTGGATTAAATCCGAATCAGAAATGTAAATGCGTTCGTTAAAGTAAGACCTTGTCAGAGCACTACATAAGTGACTTCGTTACTAGTCTAAAGAATCGCAGCTACTTGAAAATTATAGTACTTTAGGTACTTAATAGACCAGATGCCCTTTGTCCTTTTCAATTAGTAAATAACACAAAAACTGTATTTTTTATTAGAGTAATATATGCTGTATTGTGTTAGGTTTTCGTTGGAAGTTTCTTGGAAAACGAATAAAAAAGATTTTGTAAAGTCTGCGCCGAGATTTGATCGAGTTCGTTAATTAAACAGTTACCTAAGATTTATTTGCAACTCGAATGTTACTTTCCATAGACTACAAACTAGTATTTAAGTTCACTATTTTCGCTGCACAGTAAATGTCATTTATTTGTGTCTTAAACTAAGAGGATTAAAGAAAGATTTGTAGAACATATTAAGATTTGTATTAGTTGAGAATTCCTTCTCGGGTAGTAACTTCTTAGTTCGGACTAACAACAGTCCGTTGGTAAATGGCAGTTATTTGGTTTGCCCTCTAGCCGAGCTTCCCCTTGAGCTTCTCCCAGAACGACGGTTCTGCAGTGGCTTCCACCTCCACCTGTTGGAAGATACCAATCGTTAAGTCTCTGATATTCAATCGTCTCTTAATCACCTACCTTTGTTGCTTGCTGCAGGGGTTGACTCCTGCTACTGCTGCTGGGACCCTGCGTCTGGTCGAAGTGGAGGTCATCCTCGACCTGAACCTGCTGCTGACCGAGATCCTCTGCCTGCTGGTTCCAGTCCGTGTCCTCGACTTGCGTCTGCTGCCCAAGGTCCTCCAGCCTTTCGTTCCATCCCAGCTCCTCCATTTGCTGCTGCTGGCCGAGATCCACCTGCTGCTGCTGCTGCACTGGCTCGTCCCCAGAGGCCCGGTTCCACTTTCCTAAGCTTGCACTTGCACTAGCCGAGGATCCAGTGGGTCCGCCGCTGGCCGAGGCGGAGGCAGTGCCCACTGGCACGTTGAAGGTGTAGTCCTGGCGTCGGTACTCGAACCCTCCAGAAGGTCCACCACGGGAATAGGGAATTGGAGGCGTTGGTGTGGACAGAATGGGTGCAGGACTAGGTGGCCTGGGACGGACCGTCTCGCCCTCCAGTCCCGGCTCGTCACCCTCGACAAAGGATTCTTCGTAAGTGTGGGGCGGCTGGTCACCGCGATCCTTGGAGAATATTGGCTTGTAGACAGCAGTGGCATTGGTGCTTCCTGAATCCACCACATATCCGCCATTGGAGCCGCTGTCCGCGGGAAGGTCGATGAGTCCCTGGCTCAGCAGGTAGAGCGTGCGGCGCCAGGCGACCAGCTCTTGGCCAAACTTGCCATAGCGACTCTGGAGACGACTCAGAGTCCACTGATGCCGCTTCTCCCACTTCTGGGCCTCGGCAGCGGACAGTAGCTGGCGGTGATTGATGTACGCCAGCTGGCGAAGCTCGCCCTCGCGGAATTGCTGCAGATCACTCTGGGACATGCCGTAGTACCGGGCCAACTGGTTGATGCGGGCGAGCTCCTGCTTCTGCCAATCCGACAGCTGCTGCACCGAGATTTCGTACCTCTGCGCGAATTCCGCCAGCAATTTGGAGTCCTGGATCTGCCAGCTCTTCAGCTCAGTCTGCGTCATGTTTTGATTGCCGATGAATTCGTACAGGCGGTCACGTTCCCGCTGCTGCCAGGTGGTCAGGTGGTTCAGGCGGCGCTGCTCCAGCAACTGCTCGCGTGCCAAGTTGCCGATGAAGATGCGTTGCACGGGCGCCAGCTGCTCGAGGCCCACCTGGTAGGACTGGGCCAGTTGCGTTTGGAAGCTCGTGTCCTGCGAGATGAATTCGAGAAGCTCCTGCTCGGTGATCACCACTCCTTTGACCACTTCGCGCAGGCGCTTTCGCTCCTGGTCGTGCCAGTTGTTAGCCTGTCGTCCATTGTCCACGATCAGGCCCCTGTCCGAGAATCGACGCAGCTGGCTGAGAATGAACTGCTGCAGCTCCTCGACGGTGATTTGGTACTGCGAGGCTCGGACGTGGACGTCACGGAATAGTCGGTTCTCCAGAGCCTGCCTACTGATGCCCGGATGGTTCACAATCGCCAGGTAGATCCGTTGCGATTCAGTGTTCTGCCAGGAGACACCTGAACCACGGTCGATCCTGCGCTGCTCCAGCAGTCGGTTAAGCTCGTCCTTGTACCACAGCTTCAGCTCTTCCACGGTGACATGGTACTGGGCCACTAGCTCCTGTAAGTGCTTCTGGTCGTTGTTCAGCCGGAGCTGCAGCTCCTCGATGGTCCACTGCTGCTGCTTGCGCTGCTGCTCGTTGATCAGGTTGTCGATGTGCAGCCGTTCCTTGGCCTGCCACTCTGAGGTGACCAGGCCCTCGTTCTTGGCGCTCTGGTCCAGCCACAAGTGGATGTCTTCGATGGTCACATGGTACTGGCGTGCGATCTGCTCGAAGATCGGCTTGTTGCGGATCAGGTAGCTCTCGAATTCCTGCCGGGTGAAGGGTCGCTGACGGGTCACGCTTCGCAGACGCGTCACCAACTCGTTCTTCCAGGCGTCAGTCTGGTCGCCAACCCATATGTTGCTAATATCCTCGTACTTCACGTTGTTCTCCGGTCGTTCAATCACTCCGATGAGCGAAAGTCGTGCGGCTTCTTTTTGAACCTAAAATGTAAAATATACAATATTAAATGTTGAATGCAGTTGAATTTGTGGCGAATTGGATGGTTGTCTAGCCTTACCCATTTCTCCACCTGTTCCACAGTGACATGGTAGTCGGTGGCGATGCCATCCATGCGCTGCTTGTCGCGCTTGAGGAAGTCCATGAAGTCCTGGTAGCTGGCGCCATTGCGCTGTTGCTCCAGCCAGTGGTTGAATCCGTTGCTGATCTTCTGCTGCCACTGGGTCTGCTGCTCGATCTGGACGAGGCCAGAGCTCTGCAGACGACGCAGCTCCTCCCGCAGCCAGTGGTCCACGTGGTCGATGTCCACGTGATGCGTTTGGGAGAGGCTCTGAAGGCGGGCGTGATCCTGGGTCAGCTCTCGCTCCACCTGCTCGTAGGGCATCTCTTGTTGCTTCTTCAAGAGCATCTCTATCAGGCGCTGCTGCTCCTCCACCTGCCACTTGCTCAGGTTCTCGACCTTAGCCTGACCGGTGGTGCGCAGATTGATCAGCTGCTGGCGAAGCCACTCCTCGATCTCCACAACGTTGACGGAATACTGGTTGGCCAGTTTCTGCAGACGGTCTCGTTCCTGGTTCAGCTCCATCTCGAACTCCACAAAGGTCAGATGGTTCTGCTGCTTGACCAAGTTCTGCAGACGCTCTAACTCGGACACCTGCCAGGCGCTGAGGCTCTTTAAGGTTTCCTCAGTGCTGCCGCGCAGCCGCTTCAGCTCCGCAATCATCCATTCCTCGATCTGCTCGACGTTTATGCGGTACTGATCGGCAAGGTGCTTCAGATGGGCACGGTCTGCCAACAGTTTCTCCTCGTACTCGGCCGTGGACAGGCTGTTCTTGTACTCCGAAATCAGGCTCTTGATGTAGTCCCGCTCCACTCTCTGCCATGTTTGCAGTTGCTCCATCTCGAACTGCCCGTTCTTGCGTAGATCCTCGATCACCTGCTTCACGTAGCTGTCGACCTCCTCGATGTGGACGTGGTGCTGTTCGGCAAGGTTCATCAGGAAACGTCGATCGTTGTTGACCTGCAATTGCAAAGTAATGAATTTCATGGCTGTTTGTCTACGAATACATGTAACATATAAGATTGATTCCAACCTTGGCCTGGAACTGCTCCAAGGTGATGTTGGAGTGCTGCTGGAGCAGCGACAGGATTCGCTGCTGCTCGGTGCGCTGCCAGGCGGTGAGCTGCTCGATGTTGAGCTTGCCCTGCTGCTTCAGTCGCTCGATTTCGCTCTGGAGCCACTTCTCGATCTCCTCCACCGACGTGTGGTACTGGAAGGCCATGGTCTGCATGTGCTCGCGATCCTTCTCCAGCTCGGCCCTCAGTTCCTCGGCGCTCCACTGCTTGTTCTGCTTGATGAGGGCCTCCAGGCGCTCGCGCTCGGCCAGCTGCCAGGAGGTCAGGTTGTCGATTTGAAGCTGACCCTCGTCACGCATGCGGGCCAGCTCCTGCTTCATCCAGCTCTCAATCTCCTCCACCTGCACGCTGTACTGGCGGGCCAGGCGCTCGAGAAGCTCCCGATCCTGCCTGAGACGAGCCTCCAGTTGCTCTGTGGACTTGTACTGCTGCTGGGCCAGGTTCTTCAGATGCAGTCGCTCCACCTCCTGCCAGTTGGTCAGTTTCTCGCTGGGCTTCAGCAGCCCCATTCCGATGAAGCGCTGCTCCTCTTTCTTGACAAACTGCTCGATCTCCTCGATCTGCACGTTGTGCTGCATGGC